GTATAATAACTTGAAACCTGAATTTAGAGTCACATGTTTAATATGATTCAATGACGCCTACAACATTTATATGTGCCATGTCCTCTAATTGACTAAGCATCAATGGTCCACAAACATTGGTATAACTCCACAAGGGAATTGGTACCCAGGTCACCTAAGAGTATTGTGCTAAGAACACAACCTTGTGGAACACCATTTTTTGAATAGTGTGTTTCCTGCTCAAACTTTGAAATTAGGGCATAATTGATCTTAGTTTGCTACTGTAACAGAATAGTCAGTCTCTTCAGTTTGCATTTGTTGATGAAAATAAATAATCACCTCAAACCAGAGGCAAAACAAATGTTATAGAACCAGAACCAACTCCACTAAACACCACAAATAGCAAGAATTCTTTCTCTGCTATAACTCAACAAAAAAGTCTTCGGAGTCTCAAGAATTTTCTGACTCCGAACCGCCACCGATTTTTGTTTCTGAAATCGATAATTTTTTTTCATTTGTTCAAGAAATTGCAAATCTGATAGGAGAAACAAATTTTTGATGTTTTTCCAGAGTTGACGACATCAAAATTAATGCAAATTCCAAAGAAAATTATAAAATCCTTAATCCTAATCATCTTTAATGTATTGAAGCAGAATTGGATATTCCTATCCAAATGACTCCACCTAAAGCATTTCATCCTTCAGAAATAGCCAATATCATTCACAGATTACCTTCCTAAGGCCTATTTGGACTTACAGAATTGAGCTTTGGTACTCCACTAAAGCATCAAATTCCTATCTTTCCAATCCAAAATCCTTCTCAAAATACTCAATGCTCCTTACTTTGTCACAAATAAAATCATCCGTAACGACCTTAATGTTCCATATATTTCCAATTTGGCCAAATCTAGATACCTATACTTTCATAAGAAACTTCAGAAATATCCGAACTCTCTCATTTCAAACCTTGCTTCCTTCTCGATTTTTGATAACCTTCCAATGTGTTTGAAAAGACGGTGGCCTCAGGATATTTTTATGTAAATTTATAATTAGAGTGCTACCTTTGAGTAATTTCTCTTATAAGCGCTTTCATGTTATTATATTCCTGAGTGCACATTTACTAGATGTATTTTTATTTTAATACAGTTGAAAATATCATGAATAAAGAAATAAAAAAACAAAAACATTTGTTGATGAACTTGTATAATTTAAGATGTAATTCTACAAAGACTATTCATTTAAAATGTTTTTCTAACTCTTGAGCAAGAAAAAATACTGGTTATATTTTTTAAAATTATTTTATTATTGGACATACATATTAAAACTTTTCTCTCCCAAAAAATAATGAGGACATTAGAAAAATCAATGATGAAAATTACAAAAAATGTTTAATTTGAAAATTTTCAATAGTTCCTTCCACTCTGTATTAAACAAGTTCCATTTTATGTTGAATTTATGTAGTTTTCCTTTAAATATAAAATAAAATAAGTTAGGTATGCAATGTGATTCAATTAAGGATTTGAAAAGTACTGTTGAATTAAAAATAAAAACACTTCCACCTTTGTATAGTGTTAATATAAGTGAGGTAATAATCTTTAAAATGAATTAAATTTTTATGGTGCAATGAGCATGTCATGTCCTATATTTTAAAAAGGGTCATACAATTAAACACTACAGGACGGTCTCAATAATAGGAACCTCTGGTAATCCGAACAAGATAAAAAAAAAGTTTAACCTTGACTGAGGAGAGATAGATAGAAATGGCTGTTTTTCAGTGTACATTACTGAGATGGCTTCGTGTGGTAGAGTGAAAATTGGATTGTGGTGTCTCTACACAGAAAGCATTAAAACTAGGCAGTCATCCAGAAGTTAAGGATCTTATTATATGAAAAGACCAAGTTTTTCTTTAATTTTAAGGTTGGCTTGATGATTTCAAAAGCAGGTATAGTATACACTTTGTGCATTATTTTTTATTTCACTGGAAAATTTCTTTACACCCTACTTTTCATTAGAGACCAGTTATAGAAGCACCACAAAGACGTTTAATACCTGCTTAGAGTGGGTGAATGGATACGTTGACTGTTGCTTTTAAGAAATTTGCTAGATCCAGATGTATTTTCTTAAGCACCAAAATCAGAGACTCGATGAACATTATATGACCATTTTCAGAAATAATGTTTTGTTTTATAATTGTTTATTTTTAACTGATAATATACATATTTTCATTACCTTGTGTAATTTTTCCATCATTTAATTAATATTAAAATTTAACCTTTGATACTCTATACCAGGGGTCTCTCTAAACTATGGCCTGCTAGCTCTTTTCATATGGCCCGCGAAAGCTTCTTTGTTCACATGGTAAAATCTTAAAAAATACATAAAATGTAGTAAATAATTTAAACATGAGATTTCCACAACATTTATTGCATGAGTTTCTCTCAAAAAACTCATATTGCAATTGAAATGTCGTTCATAGAACAAATTTTTTTTCATCACAATCCATGCCAGCAGGACATATACAGGAGGTGTCAATGTGGCCTGCGGGCCCAAAAAGTTTGGAGACCCCTGCTCTATAACATTTGATAATTTTCAGAAATAATGTTTTTGTTTGCAATCTGTTTATTTTTAACTGATAATATTTGTAATTTTCATTACCTTGTGCAATTTTTCCATCATTTCATTTAAATTTAACTTTTGATATTCTAAACAGATCATGCAGTCTACATGTTCGGATTATCAAGACTGTCCTGTATTTGTTTTTTCAATTGAGTTCAGCTGGGTATGTTTTAATGCATGTATGTTGTCTCCAACACACATATGCCTATGCAGATCTGTGGGCTTGAATAATGAATTTGGTAATAAATTAATCAAATCACTATTAATTCTGTTTCATTTCTATACTTCAGAAATTATACAATGTCGCCTTGAATATTTTAAAAAAATATTAAATATGATAGACATTTTAGGAGATGGAAGATTAATGGAAAAAACTATGATTTGGATGGCATTTAGTGGAAGGGAACTAATCCACATTGCACATGTTTTGAGTTAAATGACTTGTCACTAACCTGTATCTCAAATTATTGCTTTTGTATCAATACACCGATCAAAAATTGACTTCATTGTGATTTGGTTTGCTTCTTATTTTTTTAAATAGAACCATTGCATTCTATTTCTATTTTTTGTTTTAAAGAATTGCTTAAATTTTTCATGAAAATACCTGAACTAAGAGATTTTTTTTTTTTTTATAAAATATTAAATACTAATTCCATTTGAAACCTCTGAAACTCATTTTTGCATGTTTTGTGTGGATTGGTTTCCTTGTGCTAAATGCCATCTATTTAAGAATCACCTTGATCATATGCCTGCACTGATATTAATGGATTAAACAAACGTTTCATTTCAAAACAAAAGATAATTTATAAGTAAAAATGTATACAATCACAATATCTTTAGTATCCCAGTACTACATCACAGTTCACTGTTAACAATGTTTTCTATTATTAATTTTACACAGTAATCACAATTTTGATTGCTCTAATGACAGACAATTTAATTACATTGTCGCAATAGATTTGTACAATGTTATAATATCAGAAAAAATTTACCATTTGTTAATCAAAAGTAACTATAATAACATTTTTAGGAGAATTGAAAGTTTCCATACTGAACATTAAAAAACAAAACAAATAATAATAATAAATAAGTAAATAATTTTTTTTAAAAAGTGAAGGAAATTTTAAAGTCAAAAATACTTATTTTGTCCTATATGTTACAAAAATATACATAAGAATAACATACTAATTACATAAGTGTACAAACAGCAGACATTGTAGACAACTCATTAAAGTTGTTAATAGATTTAAAATCATAAAATTAAAGTAGTTAATAATCATAAATTAAGGTTACTTAATTTCCAAAATTATGATTATTAAAATCAGCAACGATAAATTAAAAAAAGAAAGAATTCCACAAATTTCACTAGTTATATTATTAACAGATATTTATAGTAATCAGGACATTTTACACTATTTACATGAAGTATATTTTAATTAACAAACATACAGTAGAAATATGTTTTTCTTCTGTCAACATTGGTAGGACCAATATAAAAAAGCATACTTAACCTCAATATTGATTAGTAATAACTGATAATATTATTAACAATTGACATTTTTCAATTGACTTAAAAAAACAACTTTATGGTTGACTCTGTAAATAAATTATATCATAAATTTCTAAAATTCATAAACTAATCAAATTAAATTTCCTCTAAGCCTGAGCACAATTCAGAAGCTTGAGAGCTAAAACTTTTCTGAAATGAAAATTCAAAACAATTTTGAAATGAATACACCACATTATTGTAAATTTTCCTGTGCCTATCCTTTCAATTTAAGCAACAAATTAATAAATATTATAAGACGTATTGTATTAGCTGATTGTTGATGCCTTGCAAAGAAAATAAATTACAATGGAAAACAAAAACAAGCCTAGGAATACCACAGAGTAATAATAATAACAACCAAATCAACTTAAGCTTCGGAAAAAAAAATATAAAGAACAAAGGACAACAGTAATACAGAGAGAGATTTGATTTTAGTTGTGAGAAAATAAAAAAAATATAACAGAAAGACTTTAGTTAAGGCATAGGGACTAATATACTATTTTGAGCATGAATGTTTACAATTTAAAATATTAATATTATAAGTCGAAAAAATTGATTTGTTAAAACAAATAACTAAGCTAACTTTCAAATTATGTGTCAATAATATTGGTCCTATTCTTTGAACACGAAAAAGTTTCTACTGTATAATAAATTCACAATAAATTATGGATACATAATCTTGATATCGTTATAATAATTTACAACAATAGTATAAAATGTTACACTTAATATTATTTCTTGGTATTAAGAGTGAATGACACTCTAAAGAGGAGAGGAAATACGTCAGTTCAGTTCAAGTTTTGAGCAATTTATAAAAAACAAAACACCAAATTACAAGTTTATTAAGTTCTGCAATGTTAAGAACTTCTTGAGTCTGTGGCTAAGTCAGCACTTCTTGCGTCTGAGCTGGTGTCTGTATGACTTCCCTCAGATGATGTGCTGCTAGATGCATCAGAAGGTTTTTTCTTTTTAGCTTTATATTCAGTGATTATAACAGTCACATTATTCACTGTTATTTCTCTGGTTTGGGCAGAACTACGATCAACATTTTTTAAACGGGGCCTATATAACAAAAAAAGTATAATATTAACATTATTAAATATATGAAGTATATTTACAAATGATTTAGGAGAAAGAATTTACTTAGAAAACTAATATTTCATACATTATCAGTGATGCAAATTCAAATGAAATCAGACAATAAGATATTTCAAAAGGGATAAGCCATTTATCAGAGAACAGTATTATAGTAAAAATATTTCGACATTAATAAAATATTATTTTCCAATAGAGTAGCCTCCGTTAACACAAACACAGAGAGGAACTGAATCCTCTAGTTTGTGTTAAACAAAAAAACAAAGTGAAAACGCAGATATAGGCTAAATATTGTCTCAATTCCTTATAAACTGTTCAAAATGATTTAATGAATAGAATGGAGTTAAACCTAGAATTAGACATCTCCAAAAAACAGAACTATACGGTGGTGTGAAGAGAGAGAGAATAGCTGAAAATTATACAATATGTACTGAAATGCATAAGAATCCAACACCAAATGAAAAGCATGACAATACATGAAAAATTAATGATAAATCAAACAAGTATTTTAAAATAAAATTAATGAGCAATAAATTAAATAGATGATATGTTAGATTTAATAAAATATAAATTGTAAAGATAACCCAATAATGAGTAATATTAGTCAAGAGAATAAATAGTAAACAGAAAACAATAAGATGTGATAATTATAATTTAATATCACATTATGAAAGCAAATTATAAAGATAGAAAAGAGAATTAATACATTATGTGGAAAAAAAGGAAGGAAGTGGTATATATCAGCCTAGTTATCAATTAAAAATCATACTATGTCAAACCAAGCCCTACTGGTCTCTTTAATATTTTTTCTAGTTAAATTTTCTATTATGGGGCATCTCTGTATATGGAATTTGCATTTGGTGTTGGATTCTTATGCATTTCAGTACATATTGTATTATTATCAGCTATTCTCTCCGTTCACATCACCATACGGTTTAATAGCATTATTATTTTAAGATACCTAAATTGGTCTTGGATCTTGACCTCTTTCTATTCTAAAGCAATTATTAATGGCATAGTTTGGTAAGTTTACGTCTATATCCTGACATAAATTAATACATTTTAAAGAAACGTTCTAATTTCCAGAATAGGGTAGATTGAACATAAAAAAAATTTTTTTTTTCTTTCTTCAAAGATTTTTGTTTTGATCCATTCGAAGATTTTTGTCTTGGTCCGCATTTTTCTTCTTCTTGAAGTCAGAAATCTAAACCATTAAAGAATCAAGAATTAGATTTATCTTATTTAGAGATGATTTAGTTTCTTCGCCATTCTGATTATTAATGGCCAATAAATCTTCAATAGCGAGAGTCATAGTGAGTAAATTTACCAGAAGTGTGTTAAATGATAAAATAATTTTATTGATATAAATAAGAATAGGTTTGAAAGGACGTCTTCAGTTAGTGTATGTAGAGCTGATATTGGCTAGACCTTAAGATAATGTGGTTGGTGAGGGGGAGGGGGGGCGGACAGGGTATTTCTTGCCAAAATTAACTGATAAAGGCTGTGAAACTCTCCATAAAATTATTTTCTTTTATTCCTTCGCAGTTGCTTCTACATTTTTCGTAGGCACACTCTTTAATATAAATCACATTAATATTATATAAAATTGTTTGATTGTGGGTAATAGGCAAGGTTTGCTAGAAACGCTCTGTAGAGAAACAAAATTTTAACTGTTTAATAAAGCGACAGACATAAGAAGTAACCTTTTCTGTTAAGAATCAACATTTTCTAACCTTAGTTTCTGAAGCATCTACTTCTTGGAAATTTTAATAATTATTCCAGCTATAGGTAAGGTACTTTAGCCTAGATTTAAGACAATAATCAAATCAAAGGGGGGATGCAGGTAACCCTTTTTAGGCACTTTTATTACATAAGTTATTTCAAATCACCATGGGCTTAGCACCGGTAGACAAAATTCAAAATCCATTTTCTTTTCAGCATATATCAAGAAACAACTATTCCTTTGAAGATAATTACCCCAAATTACTTTCCCGTGCATTCTATTAGTGTCAATATGAATTGGAATAGAGCTTTCTAGGTTCAATGGTTTCCAATAAATGGCCTTTTAAAAATCAAGATTTTTTTTTTAGCAAAGATTACAAGAACTGCTGTTTCTACACAGATAATTTCTAAAGAGCTATTAATATTCAATAATTCCCAAGAGACGGTCTTTCAAAAAATATGATTTTATAAAAACAGCTAATAACTAAAATTTAAGCAAGTAAAGTGAATCACCAAGTAGTCTATAATAATTACCTTCATAGGAATGACAGTTTTCATAATATTAGCTAAAACAAAATTGTAATTTATTGTATTTAAAAAAACTTTATTGTATAGTCCATTGATAGCTCAAATTGAAGTTGAAAGAACGACTTTCTAAATGATTATTTTTGTAGGAATAGTAGTTCCTATGTAAAATAAAAACCCTAAATTGTGACAACATATTTTTGAAAAACATGTTTTTTAAAAGTCTGTTTTTTGGGAACCGTTAAAAGTAGGAATTTAATTCTTCCTTTTAATGCACACCATTTTGAAACATTTCTCGGTGAGTTGGATGGACATAATAACCGTGTATGACTAAAAGGTTTCTTCAAATATGACAAAAAAAATTTGACTCTGCTCTTTGACTATCTGGGAGAAGCTGGTGGATTAACTACTTCTACTACTACTATTATAAGAAACAAATTTTTTTTACTACTGTTTAGTTGTTTCATATATTAAGGATAAATAAAAGAAATATATTTAAAGTATCATTCATTAAATTTATTGTTTTATAAATAAATTATTGAAATATTGCAGGTTTTTAATACAATAACACTTAGAAACTTCCTAATTGATAGTTTATCACTTAATGTTCATAGGTTTCCTTTTACTCTAGACAAGATCAATAATTACTAATTAATACTTACGGATGCCATGACTTTTTCAAGCCTTTACTATCTGTTGTGGTCCTTCTTTTTAATGATTTCTCTTTACCTCCTTCTTTCTTAAATACCTTAAAGGGTCCTGGGCTAAACTGTGGAACAGCTTGCTGAGCCACCAGCTGAGGGTTTATCCGAGGTTTTCTATAAATGAAAAAATAATTATACTGAAATGATAATACTGAAATTATACGTGCAAAAATAAAAAAAATATTCCAATATGCAAAGATAAAAAAAAATTGTTTGACCCTTTAACTGCTAACAACGGCTATAGCCAGTAATTAATTGAACGTGCCACTGTTGCTAATGTCGGCGGGCCCCACTCCTGCCCTCAGTGCTAATGTCGAGTATAACCGCTACGACCTTGCTACATTTTATTGGTTTCGTAGTGAAATAATGCTTCTAACTCGAGCCTACAGTTGGCGTAGGGATTTATTTTGGAGCTTTTTTTGTAGAATTCATGAATTGTTAAGAGTGACTCAACTGTTCCCTGGATGTCTCGACCATTTTCATTCTTGTTTTTGTGTTTTATGTGAAACAAACATGAGTTCAACTGCTCTGAGTTTCTAAAAATGTCATTTAGTTTAATCTAGTTTTTAAGTTAGAAATTAGATCAAATAAGATTAGTTTAGTTAGTTATGTGGCCGTATAGAATTAATTATTTTAGTTATTTCCTAGTAAAATATTAGTCATTTTTTTTTCTTTGTCCTTTCCTTTAAAATGTAGAAACAGTGGTTTACTACTGTAGAAGCAGCTGATTTCATTAAAAAAAATATAATATAAAAAAAAATATTTGGCACAAAACCAAGGTAGAATTCGCAATTGTAAGGTTTTTCTTTGTTATGGCAAATGTTTCGACAAATACCATACAAAATTAAATTATTATATAAATATTTAAATGTATAAAAAAAAAATACATCTAAAAAAGTTTTAACTCTGCTAGTTTCAGTCCACAGCCCGAATCAAAAAGGAGAATAGAAACAATAAAATAAGGTTAAAAGATGGTAGTAAGAACTGGTAGCGAAGGGTGGAAAGTAGGTAAATAGTATATAGCAAGGGCCGGTAGGCGGGTAGCGAGCTTACTTAGCACAACAATAGACGTAAAGCTCGTCACTCGCAGCAGCAAAAAGGTTAATAATATGTAGTACCACCTGCACGCTATTTTCCTTAAATAATAGTTCCCGGTTATGTTTTGCATCAGGTTTAGGTGTTTTACCAGATTTTCACTTTTATCTTCAAAATTATAGGTTTTTTACAAAAATATTTTCTATAAAAAATTTAATCAAAGTGATCACAACTTTTTTTTCTAAGCCCATTTTGAGAATGGAGAAGGAAAATATGGCTAATCATTTGCATGCCTTCATATTCTCCCCTGACACAATTTTTTATTTTTCAGCACAATCAGATAAACCCATTAATGTTGAATTAAATAGTTAAGAAGGGAGGATCAAAAAAGGTACCGGGCCACCCAACAGCATCTTACTACCCTTGTCTACACAAAGTTTATAAATGATTTTAAAAGGAATATTATGTTGACACCCTTCATGCAAGGAGGCTATAAGAAAATTAAAGTAACATTGCTTGACATTTCCCTATTTAATGATAGTTTTCTCTGACCAATGTGTTTGGGGACACAAATATTAAAAATGTATCATTTATAACTAAATTTATTTATTGTACATGAAAGAAAATTGACTACATAATGATTTGAGTAAAAAAGAAATAAATAAAAAAATCACTCTTTTAAATAACAAATATAATATTTTAGAGGAAGCATTTTTTAAGCTTGAATAGGATTTTTTATTTTAGAAAACAACTTTTAGTAATTTATTTTCATCACCCTCATTTTATTTAAACAGGGAGTCCAGTGCTTCATCTCCAAAAATTTCCTTTACATTTCCTGAAAAATCAGTTTAAGTTTTTCATACTTTTCCCGTTCGTTTCAGATTTTGCTTGCTTTTTCCTCGTAAATACCTGTTTCACATGAGGCATTTGAGTTTGGTTTCATAACCGGTTAAATCCATTCACAAAAAAATTGTTTTTTCTTTTTCAATGATTTACAAAGTTTTTTTTAAACAAAAATTAGATGTATTTAAATCAAAACCGTTTAGATCTTCCAAAAATCAATACCAAAAGATTCAATTTCCAATCAAAAGTGGTTCTATACAAACTTTTTTGATGAGTTTTGAAGCATTTTTGAAAATGGATGTAATCGGTTTGAAACCTAATGCCTCACATAAAAAATAATGAGTAAATCTGCCTGTAGAGTAATGTAAGCTCTTATTGCAACTTTTACTCATGTTACACTCTTTACTTTATTTTATGAAGATTATAATCCAGTTATAGTCAGCACACACACACACATCTATGTATATATATATATACACTGACAGGCAAAAAATTCCACCCACTTGTTACCCATTAAGGGAACCATGTTGGAAAGGTTGGCTCTGGGAAAAATTACAGGCTGCGTATCTTTCGTTTCTTCTTCTCCACACCCTTTCACGCCCGTCTGGAGATCGAAGAGCAAATCTTGACTCATCTGTAAAAAGTACAGCACTCCATTCGTCCATAGTCCAATGGCTGTGTTCTCGAGCAAAACCCAGCCGTGTTACTCTGTGAGTTCTGGTCAACTCTAGTCCTCTTACTGGACGAAAAGCCATTAATCCATACTCATTTAATCTTCTCCCGGTAAGGTGGCGGTTTCATAAAATTCACAAAGTCAAAAACCTGTCATCCCGTGGTTCTGTTACCCTAGGCCGTCCAGAACCGGGCTTTCTATTGTAAGAACCAGTTTCCCGAAAACGCCTGATGGCGTCTCGTAAAGTTTCATATGGAACTCCGATGGCATTAGCTGCATATCTAATGGAACTTGAATTATCAATAAGTGCCACACCACGCGCAACATCCTCAGCACTAAGAGGCATTTTTAAACTTAATATTGAAAAAGTTAAAAGCCAGTGACTAAAAAATGTGCTGCAATAAACGGCACTGAACTAATGATACTGAATAAACATTTTGATTCCATAGAAAGTAAACATTGGAATCTAGAATCATTTCATTGAATTAAGGATTAAGGGTTATTGTCCTCTAAATTAACATTCCAAATTGAAAACAAACAAAAAGATTACCTATTTATTCATTAAAAACAATAGACCAATCCAAAGCAGAAATATTTTTAGATGAAAACATGAAAAAATCAAGTGGGTGTAAATTTTTGCCTGTCAGTGTATATATTCGTACATATATTATTACAGTAAGGCACGAAATCGGTTTTGTACCAAATATAAGCTCCTGTCATGCTCAAATACCATGAATGGGGTACCGTTGGATTCAGAATTTCATGGGGGGTTAGCGAATCGTATTCTCCGCTTTTGTTTTTCTTTCTAAAATAAATAAAGTCGATACAAACATTTTACTTGGCTTCAATACTGGAAATGTGATAAGTCTGTAGATTGGTAAGGGACAAATTGGGCTTTGAAGATTTTGATGAGTACAGCAAGACCCATACAGTTCCGAAGGAACTACCGGGCCTTGTGTTTTTCAGCCCAAAAACATACTATTTTCGAGATAACGCAAGGCATAGCGTTCGAATCCACACTACCTTACGTTAATTGTAGTACTTTCATTGAATAACATGTCTCATTTCGTCGACTTGAGGCCTCTATGATCAAGAGAGGATTTTATATTATTTATCGATGGTGTTTTTGATCGGCAAGTCATATCATCATTAATTCTTTATCAAATACCAAGATTGAGCCACCAATTTTGAAGCCTTCCTTCTCCTTTAGGCGGACAAAATAGTCCGATCATCCCAAAAATTCAGTCAAACAAGTTATGAAAGAAAAGAAACTTCATTTTCGAATAACTACAAAAGTACACACTTTTCCCTTGGTTATGCCCATGATTATATAAAAGATTACTAAATTCCCTACAAAAGAAAAAAAAATCATCGAAATCGATTAGAAATTTTTCCAATATTTTTGTTTTACATTTTATTATTTATTTTTTCATATTTTCGATTAATATTCATTAGGAGAGTTCTATTATAGACCATTTTATATGAAAATAACTATATATTTGGCATATAGCTATATTATCAGTACAATGATGAAATAGTTTGTACTGACCGAAGGAGGAAAGTGGGTTCAAAGGAAAAACAGAGTTGAGATTTGTATTTCGCACCTCTATAAAGCCTCAAATACGAATTTTCATAGAAATAAAAAAAAAATTTGTTTGCACCAAATCGGAACCAAGGCTCCCTCCCCTCTTCGATCTTTTTTCGAAAATTACAAAAAGTGGGATAATATAAAAATGACTCCAGGTATCCTCACGACTAAGTTAGGACTACATAAGCTAAACGAAATGACACAAACCAGACCCCTGTAAATATAATAGAACTAGAGATATAAAACAAAAACCTTTGAGGAGTTTTTCTTTATTTATTGTTTTTAAACGCGTCAAATCTAAAAGTAATTGGTATGATGTTGAAGAGTAATAACTCAGCTTTCCAACGATTATAGATACATTGAATTAGGAGAAAATCCTGAGGAGTTATGAATCATATACTGAATAGCAGAGGGAAAAATGAAATAAGAAAGACAAACCACGTTCCTATGGCAACGCAGTCAATAGAACATTGCTATCCCTAACCCTATTCGTACATCCGTACATATATTATTACAGTAAGGTTCGAAATCGGTTTTGTACCAAATATAAGCTCCTGTCATGCTCAAATACCATGAATGGGGTACTGTTGGATTCAGAATTTCACGGGGGGTTAGCGAATCGTATTCTCCGCTTTTGTTTTTCTTTCTAAAATAAATAAAGTCGATACAAACATTTTGCTAGGCTTCAATACTAGAACGGTGGTAGTCTGTAGATCGGTGGGACAAATTGTACCTTGAAGATTTTGATGCGTACAGCAAGACCCTGATAGTTCCTAACTATCGGACTTGTGTTTTTAAGCCCAAAACACTATTTTCAAGATAACGCAAGGCATAGGTTCATCCACACAACCTGACGTTAATTGTAGTACTGGCATTGATACATGTCTCATTTCGTCGACTTGAGGTCTCTATGATCGAGACAGGAGGATTTATATTATTTATCGATGGTGTTTTTGATCGGCAGGCCATATCATC